CTCTGATGACCCCTATGGAAGGCCTCACCCTACCTGGGGAGCAGAGTGATAGTTAGGGTTTTAGTTGGGGAGTGGTAGTAGGGGAGGAGGAGAGGGAGAGGGAACTGGGAGTGACATGTAAAACAATCTTGTTTCTAATTCAAATAAAAATAAAGATGGAAAAAATCTGTTCCCACCAATTTGAGCTATGAAAGCATATACAATTATATTATTCACATTCCAAGCCCATCATATTTTTAGATACAACTTGAGCATCAGTTAGTTAATTCAACAACTGCCATGAAATGTCATTAAAGTTGGGATTATTGGCCTAACATACTAGAAATGCCTTTTCCCTGTGGACTTGAAAGTATCTTTTATTAAAGCAGTCCACAATCAGCTTGCCTCTCCTCACCTGGGCAACAGAGTAGAGCTGGCTGGCCCTGGTGGTATGGGTGTAGGTGAGCTGGCCCCCAAAGGCATTAGAGCAGTAGAACTGGTCCCTCCCTTTGCTTCTTACTGCAGCTGATGAGCCATTCAGGGTGGTGCTGGAGAGCTCACCCTGGTGTTGAGGATGCAGGAGAGCTGGTGTGTGAACCAACCCAAAAACCACCCAGGCCCAGAACCAAGGCTATGAGTTATCCCATCCCAACATCCATCCCATCTATGATCTTCTGAAGCAAATGAAAGGAATGGACCTGAAACCCAAACCTTCAGGATCTGCATGACACAGGACAACAATTAGATGCCCAAGGAGAGCTCTAGTAAGGGCCCAGTACCGATACTATAAGAGAAAGCAGACGCCATTTACTTCTAGATTGCTTAGGTCCTACATGAGTCCCTTTTTCTTTTCAGACAGTTTGGTGGCTTTGCCATTTTCTTCAGTCCTATTTTTAACAATTTGAATACATTACCTCTACTGTCTGTTACTGCAAAGGTCAATGGGTTTTGGCATAGTTTGCATAGCAACAATTTTGAATCATACAGGGTAGTGTTAGGCAGAGGTTAAGATTTTATATGAAATGTCCTAAGAGTAATAAAGATACATATATGGAGAATGTCAAACAAAATAGCTAGGGAAATGTAGGGGAGTTGAGAGAAGTGCATAACAAGTATTTGCAATTCTCTCAGGTGATGGACTTTTCTTTTTTCAATTGCTTTTAGTTTTTGATATTATAATATAATTATTATTTCTCCTTTCTATTTTCTACCTCCAAGCACTTCCATATAGCCCTCCTTGTTCTCTTTTAAGTTCTTGGCCTCTTTTTTATTAGATATTATATCATGCATTTATGTGAATGTACATACATATATAGTCCTAAATATAGCTTGCTCAGTCTGTAGAATGTTGCTTGTATGGATGTTTTAAGGAAGGGCCAGTTAGTGTGCTCTTCCCTAGGGAGGACTATTCCTCCCACTCTCAGCATTCTTTAGTTGCCTGTGGTTCTTTCTGTAGGGTTGAAGGCTCCTGGGCTTTCCCATATCCACATTAGCATGTCTACTGTTGTGGCCTTACTCAGCTCATATTTATGCAGTCATGTTGGAGAGACTCCAGTGTAGTTTCTGTCATCATGAGGGTCTCACAGAACACTCCTGATCCACTGGTGCCTACAATCTTTCTGCCTGGTCTTCTGCAATGATCACTGAGTCTTAGATACCAGACTTCTTTTGTTGATACACCCATTAGAACTGGAATCCATGCTGGGGGTTGGTGGCACATGCCTTTAATCCCAGCACTCTGGAGGCAGAGGCAGGCAGACCTGTGAGTTCGAGGCCAGCCTGGTCTACAGAGAGAGTTCCAGGACAGCCTCCAAAACAATACAGAGAACCCACCCCCCCAAAAAAGAACTGGAATCCATAATTCTACTTTTTTAATTTTACTTTTCTAAACTATTTCATTGAATTTTTTCTTACTATGTGTTTTGACCATGTTTTCCCATCTTAAAATTCCAATTCCTCTCAGATCCTCCCTACCTACTCATCCAATTTTATGTTCTCTCTGTCAAAAGAGATAGACAAAAGTAATATCAACAGAAAAAAATGCACACAAAAACATAAAAGTAAAAATCAAAGTGAACAAACAAAAGATTCATAAGATGAAAATGAGTAAACTAAGCAAAATGAGACAAAATACATCCACAAAAGTACCATTGAGTTTGTTTCGTCTTTGGCCAAGTACTCCTGGGATGGGGTCTGCCCTGCAGTGTAGTTAATATTCCCAGTACAGCTCCACTGGAGAAGCTCTTTTTCCTTTGCCTGCCAGGTTCAATTGCAGATAGCTTCTTGGTCAGGAGTGGTAGCCTGTGTAAACTACCTCCTCTCAGTTCTGGTACCCCATCTGGACTGTGAATGCTGCCACAGTCTTTGAGTTCATTTATAAATATTTTATTAATTTTTGATAGAGTGATATATTTCTATCAAATCCTCCTTCAACTTCTACCTTGTGCTCTCCCCAGATCCACCACCACCTCACTGCCTCCTCTTCTTCATTTCCTATTGTCTTTATTTTTAAATTTAATAACTCATTGACTCTAGTGTGTGTTGTGCATAAGCTACTGATATGGAGGCTTCCACTGGAACATGATGGATTTACCAGGAGATATAATTATGAAGAAAACTGACTCTCCCTCCCACAGAAACTATCAACTATCCACAGCTCATCAATTAGGAGCTTGGTCTAAGGACTTCCTGCCTACTCCATTGTAGAATGTTGCTATTACAAAAAAGGCCTGAAACAATATACTGAAGCATATAGAATTTAAAAAGCACTTTAAAAGCTATTTAAATTATTGGTATGTAGTTTTCAACAGCTAAACAATTTGAAATCCTTGGTGGTTCTTGTAGCCCATTTTTAATTTACATTATATAGCATAAACTGCCAAAAGATTTTGAAACTAAACAATACAAGCTTAGCAAAGATGCTTCTTTCATAATTGTATCTCAGGACCTTCTAGAAGTCTAATTGAAGGGGAGTAGAACATCATTCTATTGACATGCCCTCAAAATAGCACAGACTCACAGTGGATCAGTACATGGTCCAGAGAGGCTCTTTTTATTTTTTTGCTGTCAAATAAATTGCTCTCATAAATGAAAGCTTACGTACACACGAAAGACAATGGAACATCAATGACCTCTGCACACTGTCACCTAGAGACACGGGCTGAAATGACTTGTATCCAACACACATTCATTTCTACAGATAGAGAATTATGTGTTTGGTTTGTTGGAAAAGATAAATACTAAAACAACACTTTTAAAATCATAAAACCCAGAAGTTGGGGTAAGAGAATAAACACAATGCCAGTTATTTATTTCTTCATAACAAAATATGACTTAAGATGTGGCAACGGAACAGTCTCAGGATAGAAAACAAAGCAGCTTATAAAAGCCACACAATTAACAAGGTTAAAATATACATGGTTAAAAAGAATTTAATGAAATTGTTAGATAGCTTGAAATGTAAATGATATAATTTTGTTGTTATAATGAGAGTCAATATGGAATCAAAGAGGTTTTATGGAAGATGTGGCTGCTACACACATAGATACCTTGAGCCACTAGAGAAATAAAACAGTATTTTATGATGACACGAAATGGCAAAAGAGGTAACTGTCTTGTGATAAAGGGGAAAACTGAGTTTATAACGATCCCATCAGCTGTAAGGAAAATATCTTGGGGATATTTTTATGTCAGTGCTTTGTAAGAGAGTGTTTGAGAATGCAAGCACAGCTTGTGCAAGGCCCTGGATTGATTTCTAGTACTGCAAATAAGCTTTGTAAATGTGTCTGCAAAGTCATTCAGGACTAAGAGTTTTTTATTTTTTATTTTATTTTATTTATTTATTTGGTTTTTTGAGACAGGGTTTCTCTGTGTAGCTTTGGAGCCTATCCTGGCACTCACTCTAGAGACCAGGCTGGGCTCCAACTCACAGAGATCCGCCTGTCTCTGCCTCCCGAGTGCTGGGATTAAAGGCGTATGCCACCAACGCCTGGCTCTAAGAGTTTATTTTAACAGCAAACTTTGGTGAGTCATGGCAAGAGTAACTGTCTGAAACCTGACCCATACCAATCCATGCTGAAACCGACCCAACCAGTGTGCCCTGAGACTGGATGTGGCCCTAGCACTGTTGCTTCAGAATCCAATGCAGACTGTTTTCCTCATTTCTGTTCTTATTCTTTTTGTCCTTCTTCCTTATTATTACAGATTCCAGTCATAGAAACTTCAAGGTAGACATGCCACTGTAATCATCAATTTTGATGTTTTGGTTCTTTTTCCCTTATTTTTTTTTTTACCTGGATAAAGTGTAGGTAATAATGTTTAGTACTATCTACTCCACACAAGGGCCACCATTGTATTAGGGAGTACGTTCTAAACTCTCGCCTGAGACGTCTTCCATCAGACACAGAATTTATATAAGAGAGTTAAAATATGACAAGTAAAGAAGGCTAGCAAATTATTCTCTTCTATTACTGGTTTCTTCCTAATCATTAATTCCTAACCATTGATAAAATAAATGAGCAATTTTATCTATCCCAGACTTTTAAAATTGTCTGAATCAACTAAACACACACACACACACACACACACACACACACACACACACACAAGGGGCGGGGGGGTAGAAGAAAGGAGGGAGAGAGAGAGAGAAAGAGAAATAAAATATTTTTATTTTCTTTGAAATTCAAAATGAACTAAGGAAAACAAAATTGTGCTTCAAGTTCATAGGCATCACTGATATAGTTTCATTATAATTTTAAGCAATCAGGAAGCATTTATCAAAATCAACCCAACTAGTTTTAAGACAAATTTTATTCAGATACTAGTAAGAGTGACTTTTTAACAAATATCAGTCTTTCATTGAAACCTAGGGCTTGGGGGAAAAGAGGGGACCGAGCAAAAATAGTAAGACAAATAGCTATGATCTATATTTTGTATTGGATTAAAATTGTGGGAGCGATCTCCACCAACATATAGGTAGACTGAAGTAAGACCTTTCAGCCCCATTCTGTTTCCTAGGTTGTTCATAGACGGCTCTGATACAGCAAGCTGTGGTAATCATCTTTTTCCATGAGGAGTGGTTGTCTTTCTTCCTGGAGCTGCCTCTTCTTGCGACAGCACAGATGACTGCTGAGCCCTACCAGAGCTGCAGTAACAGCAGCTCCCACCATTGCTGCCCCAAGGAGCCATGGCCAGATCCTAGTGGCTTGCTCCAAGTAGGGCTCAATATAGTTTCTGTAAAAGCCTGGATCTGAAATAGAAAGAGATCATATCACCATCACCATCAGCAGCTTTTGGGTACATTGAAGTCAGATGCTTGGGTGTGAAAGCAAGCTCTTTTACTTACCAAACTGAAGAGTTTGGGGGAAGTTAACCTAATTCTTTTCAGGCTCAGTTTCCTATTTAGGAAGGAAGGAAAGCAATTCTCTGCTATAGATCCTTTGAAAGTTGTATAATACCCTTGATATGTAGTATCCTTAAGTATGATTGCTACAACTCCTGATGACTGTGTGGCAATACTGCAGATCTATATAATACACATTTTATTATCAACTATTGATGACCTCTGTGATAATTTAAATTATTATTTGAGAAACACTGATTATACTGCAGTAGTCTCAGAACAGTCCCAAGGAGCCTAGGACAAATGTATAAATATCTGGGTTTTTTATAGCAATTTATGTTTTTTTTTGTGTGTGTGTGTGTGTGTGTGTGTGTGTGTGTGTGTGTGTGTGTGTGTGTGTGTACATGTGCATTCAGGTGCCACAGGGGCCAGAAGGTCTGAGATTCTCTGGAGTTGAAGATACAAGTAGTTATGAGCGGCCCACGTTGGTGCTAGGATTTGAACTCCTTCCTCTAGAAGAGCTAGCTCTCTTAACTGTTGAGACATATCTCCAGCTCCACAACTTTCAATCTTTTTTATTAAAAAATATTTTCATTTTATATACCATATCCACTTCCCTTTCCCCATCTCTTGCCCCAGGATCCCACCATTCTCAACCCCCCATCCACTACTCAGAGGGGGTAAGATCTTCCTTGGGGGAGTCAACAACGTTTGCTATACCAAGTTGAGGGAGGAACAAGCCCTGTATACAACTTTAGGGCATATACCCAAAGGATGCACAACCATACCACAAGGACACATGCTCAAAAATGTTCATAGCAGCATAATTGGTAATAGCTAGAACATTGAAACAACCTAGATGCCCATCACCAAAGACAAAAGGTGGTACATTTACACAATGGAGTAAACACAAGTGTAAACAAAACAAGGCATCTTGAAATTTGCAGGCAAATGGATGGCACTAGAAAAAAGTATACTGGGTGAGGTAACCCAGACACAGAAAGAGAAGCACAATATGTATTCACTCATAAGTGGATATTAGATATAAAACAGCTTTAAACCTTAAAACAACATATTTTAGCCAAGGGAATTTTTGAAATAATTTTGATTAAGGAAAGCTCCTACCCTCCTCATGATCTATAATTATTTCAAACCCCTAAGAAATTTGCCACTGGGTTGGGATCAAAACACTTGTGATTTCTGCCATCTATAAATAATTTTCTAATTCTTAAATTACTAAGTTCAGATAATATAAAATATGCATTTTGAAAACAAAATGCTTGCTGGATTCCCTAGCATTCTTCTTGAATTTTTTGCTGAAGTCAAATTTGACTTTTAGTTTTGTAAGTTTCTTATAAGCATTTCAGTCCAAGAAGCCTTAAACTTCTAAAATGTTACAGTTCTAACTCTACTAGTACATCCATGACATTGTATTAGAGTTACTATTTATATGTCTATATTCTGTATGATTATGATACTGAATCCTTGAAAGCCCAAACTATGAATTAATCCTGCGATTTGATTTGAGTATCTGAAACTCATGAGAGATTAAATGAATACTCAATGACTGAATATACTATTCGACTCAGAAAAGGTAGTGAAGAAATATGACAAGTTGATGTGAAGAAATGTACAAACAACATTTGCCAGTGGAAAATGAATCATAAATTAGGCCATGTTTACTATGTTTTGATGTAATGTTTATAATGTGCTTATAAAATAAATTATATAATTGACCATGATTTATTTAAAATCAAGAAAAAAGATGAGGCATTGGCTCTAAGAGAAAATTAATATAAGAAATAACTCTAAATGAAAACATGAGAACAGAACAAAGAAGACATTCATGGAACATAGAAGGAAATAACATTAATAATTCTACTTTTGAGATTATAATATTATTACAACATTTTTCCCTTCCCTTCCTTCCTCTAAACCATTCCATAAACCCTTAATTGCTATGTTTTAAATTCATGGCCTCTTTTTTATTAATTGTTATTAGATGCATGCATGTATATAATATATATATATGTATGTATATATTATGTATATATATATATATGTATATATTCCTGAATAAAATATGCTCAGCCTGTAAAAAAAAATAGAAGAAATATCTCTGTCTGATTCAACAATAGAAAACCTAACAAAACCTCAAGACATGGATTTCTCATCAAGTGACAGAAATGTCCTAAAGAGATGGAAGAAACAAAATGGGTTTGTGAGATAGCTAAACTCATTATTTATATATGAAGATTCCTGCACTAGAATTAATGAATTAAAAGATATTGTCCTTTATCAATATTTACAAACATGGACATAAAAATGTTACAAGAGTTATGGTAGCTGATTTGGGACACTAGACTGGGTAGAGCATGAGGGTGGAAAATGAGGTCTTTGTTTTTGTGTTTGGAAAAGCCTAGCTTTTAAAATAGAATACATTATTATTTGACAAAATGAAATTAATATATATGTCTACTTATATAATTTATATATGAGAGTAATATATAATAGGAATCAAAATTGAGACAAATGTAAGTAGAATACATTATTGTCCAACACCTAAAAGAAATGTAGTATTATACAGTTCATAAGTGTGTTACAAAAAAGAACTAAATTTAAAAATTGTCTAAAGTAATGACAGGATAGTAGTACTATGTATTTGAGACATGAATGATCATATAATATGTTAAATATAGTATACTTTTGTTAGAAAAGCATAAGATAAATTGAATATTATGACTATAAAAATTAGCTCCAAATAAATACAATGAGACACAAATAATGGCCCTACTATTACTTATAGACTTAAAATATGCAGTAGTTTGAAGGAATATTTAAAATGTTTATGCATCTGAAATATCTCTAAAGCCCATAGAAGTTATGAAGGTAATTTGAATGAAAATGGATTGCTTTGTTTGCTTGTTTATCATCACCAGAAAAGACAATAAAGGACTGACATGAAAAATAAAAGGCAAACCTCTACAACTGACTGACACTAATTTAAATAATCAAAAACTGAAACCAAATGAAAATGTAAAAATCATTTTCAGGAATCCAGAATGTCACTATTTAAAACAAATTTTAAAATATTTTTGATAGTGAGACTTAAATGGCTAGATTCACCTGCTCTTAGTTATTTAAATACATGTTCATTGTAAATGTGTGGTCAGTATGTAACAGGTTACATAATAAATACTATTTCCTTTATGTCCCATGGATCAAACCTAGAGAGCAACAAGTGCTCTTAACCACTGTGCAATCTCGCCAATAACTTATTTTACTTTAATAGGAACCTATAGTTAAGAAACATCGGATATTTTTAATCGACTGAACTTTAATGTGTTTTTAGTTCTTAAAGACTGTGGGACTTATAAACTCTTTATTGTATTTTAAATTGTGGTATCACAATTAACATGGCATCTTAGGAGCAAATGAGGAAAGAAATGACAAAGTTGAGCAGTGAGGTATTTGTGTCACTTTGACAAAGAGTCAATTTTTCAGGCTAGATTTTATGTTAACTTAAAACAAGCTAGGGTCATCTGGAAATATGGAGCCTCAGTTCAGAAAATATCTCTGTCAGATTAGCCTGTAGGTAAGAGTGTGGGATATTTTCTTGGTTAATAATGTGGGATGTCCTAGGTCATCGTGGAGAGTGTCATCTCCTGACAGGTAGTCCTGGGTTGTATAACAAAGTAGGCATCTTCCACCCACAATTTGTCCTGCCTGAAGATGTGCTGGGATAAGGGTGGCACAACCTGAGGAAGTAGTCAACCAATGACTGATCCAATTTGAGGCCAGTACCACATGAGGGAGCCCATGCATGGCATTGTCTACATGGCCAAGAACCAGAGGCCAGATAGCCTGGAGACCTAGGATAGAACCAAACCTAACAAATCTGGCCAAAATGGATGGATGGAT